AGGGTTGGATGAGCCCCGCCTATTTTAATATCACAACACCCCCCCGGCCCCCCCGCGGGGGAAGCCCCGGCAAAGGGGCCATGGGGGGGCGCCTCCCACTCCCTATACATGGCCGCCCCCCACCACCAAATTATAGGGGGGCTTCCCCCCCACGCCGAAACGGTAAAAACCGTTAGGCAAAAAAAAAAAAGTTCGCGGGGGGAGGGAAAGCAGCCCCCCCCCGCCCCCCCCCCCCCCCCAAGGTGAAGGGCAGTGCCGGCTCCTGTGCCCACGGGGCCCGCAGTGCCCAGAGGTCGGTCTGCTGGATGCCGCTCAAGTCCCCCTCGCGGTGCGAACCGCCACAAACGCCCCCCCTCCCGGGGCTCAGCCGGGGCTCACTGCCTCTCACGTGTGAACCATCAGTGCCTGGATGGACGGATGGATGGCTGGATGGCTGGATGGCTGGCTGGCTGGATGGACGGCTGGCTGGATGGCTGGATGGATGGACGGATGGACGGATGGGTGGACGGATAGCTGGATGGCTGGACGGATGGATGGATGGATGGACGGATGGACGGATGGATGGATGGATGGGTAGATGACACAGTATTCCTCAGAGGACACAGTATGTGTCCGTCTTAATCTGCCATAGTGCTGGCAAGTCTGAAAGCGATGTCTTTTTTGTTTGTTTGCTTTCTGGACAACTTCTGTGTCCAGAACCGTCTTGACCAGGAAAATTTGGTACCTAATATATATTTTTAAATAAATCTTTAATGATATCAAAGAGGAGGGGAGGAGAGAGAGATAGAAATATCCATGATGAGAGAGAATCATCGATCGGCTGCCTCCTGCACACCCCACACTGGGGACCAAACCCACAACCCGGGCATGTGCCTGACGGGGAATCAAACCGTGACCTCTTCAGTCCTGGGTGGATGCTCAACCACTGAGTCACACTGGCCTGGCAGAGGTTCACAATTCAGATGGTTACTTTGGTCCAAAGAAAACCTTTTGCTTGGCAAAATGTTAATTATTTTAACATCAGTTATTTCATATATGCAGATGCAAGGGCCCTGCTTCAAAGCCCATTGGATTCATATAGTCACTGGTTTTTTTCTCTGTCAGTATTTCTCACACTCTCCAGACCCAAGCTGAGGACAGCTTTTTAGTTCCCTCCCTCTGGCTTCCTTTTGCCTCAGCCTATCATACACATGAACTTACCTTTCCTAGAAGAAGCACTTCCCCAAAGGTCTACTGTGGGCTGCTATGCAACAATGAAGTGGGATCTTGAAGTATGAAAGAGGTATTGGGAAACTGAAGAACTGTGGACTACGGGTGGAAGTAGCTCAGAGGCTGAGGCTCCACCTATGAACTAGGAGGTTATGGTTCAATTCCCAGTCAGGGCACATGCCAAGGTTGTAGGCTCCTTCTCCAGTAGGGGGAGTGCAGGAAGCAGCCAATCAATGATTCTCTCTCATCATTGATGTTTCAGTGTCTCTCCCTCTCCCTTCTCTGAAATCAATAAAACTATATTTTTGTAAAAAATGAACTGTGGCCCTAGCCAATTTGGCTCAGTAGATAGAGCATCGGCCTGGGGACTGAAGGTTCCCCTGTTCGATTCCAGTCAAGGGCACATGCCAGGGGTTGTGTGCTCCATCCCCAGTAGGAGGAGTGCAGGAGGCAGCCAATCAATGATTCTCATCATTGCCATTTCAATCCCTCTCCCTCCTCTGAAATTAATAAAAATATATTTTAAAAAAATTGTGGACAAGGATTGGGTGGAATATTTTGGTAATGGAACAGTCCAACCCAGTTAGCATACTTGACTCACCAAGTGGTATTTGCAATAAGTGCTCATCACTTTTTCATTTCCCAGCCACAGGTACCTAAGACAGAGTGTTCCTTAAATGTCAGAGTTCTGACAGATAACTGTGCCCCCAAGTGGTTCACATCAGAATCTGACAGGCTCCTGAACCATTAAAATGAGAAGTCAGACCTTGCTTGAGAGACACATTATTAAGAGGAAAGAAAAAAGTACATTTTGTAGCATATGAAGGAATAGTTGGAATATATGACCCAGGATGAAAAACAAAACAATGGCACCTTAAAATAAAGTGAATATATGGTGCCAGGTGGGTACTGGAAATATCAGGGGGGTACACTTTATAAAGTATATGATTGTCTAACTACTGCGCTGTACACCTGAAACTAATACAAAATAATATTGAATGTAATTTTAAAAAATAACAAAACAAATAGAAAAAAATAAGTCTTTAAGGTTTTGACTTACAGTATTATTCACTTTAAAGAAAAGCTAATTGGCTAATAAACTGTCAAAGAACTTTTAGGCCTTAATGCATTGTTTTGAGAGATCTTTCATTCCAAACATGTTTTTCTATTTCTTAAATTTAAAAGCCATATGTCTGCACTCATGAAGCCCTTACTACAATCAAAATAGTCACCATAACCATCAACTTCAAAGGTTTTTTTGTGCCCTAGCCAGTTTGGTTCAGTGGATAGAGCATTGGCCTGTGGACTTGGGTTCGATTCTGGTCATGACCGGGTTGCAGGCTCAATCCCCAATACAGGGTGTGCAGAAGGCAGCCAATCAATGATTATCTCTCATCATTGATATTTCTATCTCTCTCTTCCTCTTCCTTCCTCTCTGAAGTCAATAAAATTATATATTTTTTAAAAGTTTCTTTATTTTCCTATGTATTGCTTTCCTCTTTACCCATCCCCACCCCTATCTGTAGGCAACACTAATTTGCTTTCTCTCACTATAGATTAATTTGCATTTTGCTGAATCTTATTTAAATGGAAACATACACTGTATTCTATTTTTTGTCCTTTCTTTTAAATCCTCACCCAAGGAGTGAGGATATTTTCCCATTGATTTTTAGAAAGAGTGGAAGGGACAGGGGAGGAGGGAGAGAGAGAGAAAAAAAACATCTATGTGAGAGACACATCAATTGGTTGTCTCCCACACACACCCCAACCCCGGGGGTGGGGATAGAACCTGCAATCCAGACACCAGCCCCTGACTGGGAATCAAACCCGAGACCCTCAAACCAATGAGCCACACTGGCCAAGGCTTTTTTCCCCTCTTTTTTAGCACAGCATAATTATTTTGAGAAGTACTCATCCTGTTATTTTAAGCAATAATTCATTTCTTTCTGTTGTTCTGTATTTCATTGTTTCGTTATTTGGGTTGTTTTTAGTTTTTGACTCTTTACAAATAAAGCTGCTATGAATATTTATGTACAAGTCTTTGTGTGGACCTATGCTTTCATTTCTCTTAGATAAAAACTTAAGAACAGCAGTAGGGTGTGTTAACATTTTAAGAAACTGACAAAGTGTTTCCAAATATCCATAACCACATATACTCTGATTGCATACTTACAGAGCCTTGATATAGTCAATATTTTTATTTTGAGCCATTGTAATGCGTGTGTTGTGGTCTATCACTTTAATTTTAATTAACATGTCATTAATTACTAATAGTATTGAGCATCTTTTCAAGGGTTTAATTGCCATCCATTTATTTTATTTGGTGGAGTTTCTGTTAAGATATTTATCCATTATAATTATGTTGTTTACATCTTATTGATTTTCAAAAGTTCTTTACATATTTGAATTACAGGACTATTGGTGATTATATTTTGTACATATTTTCTCATTATGTGTCTTACCTTTCATTTTCCTAAAGTGTATTTTTATTTTTGTATTTTAAAAAAAATTTATTTTATTTTATTGATATCAGAGAGGAAGGGAGAGGGAGAGAGAGATAGAAACATCAATGATGATAGAGAATCATTGATCGACTGCCTCCTGCATGCCCCCTACTGGGGATGGAGTCCAAAACCCGGGCATGTGCCCTTGACCGGAATGGAACCCGGGATCCTTCAGTCAGCAGGCCAATGCTCTATTTACTGAGCCAAACCAAGCTAGGGCCTAAAGAACAAACTTTTTCAGTTTGGATTGAAGTCCAATTTATTGATTTTGTGTATTATACTCCATGTTTTTGATGGCTTATTTAAGAGATTTTTTTGTCAAATCCAATTTCACTTCGATTTTGTCCTGCCCTTTCTTCTAGAAATGTTACAGTGTTAGTTCTTACATTTAATTCCAATGTCCATTTCTAGTTCATTTTTGCATATGGTGTAAGGTAAGGCTTAATGGTCATTTCTTTTAACTTATGGGTATCCAATTGTTCCAGCACCAGTTCCTGATAACATTATCCTTCCTCCACTTAAATTAGTTTTGCACCTTGGTTGACAATCAATTGACTATATCCCTGTGGGTCTGTTTCTGGATTCTCTCTTCTGCTAAATTGATCTGTGTCCCTATACTTTGTGCCAATGCCACACTTTCTTGAATTCTGTAGCTTCATGTTAAGTCTTGCAACCTGGCAGTCAATGTAAGTACTAAAATGTCACTATTCATATTCAAACTAACTTTGAATATTCTAAGTCCTATGTACTAGTATTTCCATATAAATCTTAGAAATAGCTTGAGGGAGTGGCAGATTACCCAGTGCCCGGAAAAATGGAGCTCAAGGCCATGAGCAGATATACCACCCCCATGAACCCAGCTGTCTTCCCCCATCTGACCGTGGTGCTGTTGGCCATTGGCATGTTCTTCACCGCCTGGTTCTTTGTTTATGGGGTCATGTCCACCAAGTACACTCGGGACATCTACAAGGAGCTCCTCATCTCCTTGGTGGCCTGTTCTTCATGGGCTTTGGGTCCTCTTCCTGCTGCTCTGGGTTGGCATCTAGGTATGAGCTCCCATAGGCTCCAACCAGGTAGCTGCTGAATCCCTGCTTTTGTAAATTATTTTTTTTACTGTTGTGGGAGGTGTCCTGTCTGCTGCTCATGATAAAGGCAGATGTGTGACAAAAAGAAAAAATAAATAGCTTGAATTGTTGCCTTACCTATAGAGAAAGATAAAAATGGCATCTGATGTCTTATCAGAAAAAAAGTGTCTTAGTCCATTTGTTTTGCTGTAAGAATATACCACAGACTGGGTGGTTTAGAAACAACAAATATTTATCACAGCTCTGAAAACTGGAAGTTGGAGATCAGGATTCTACTAAGGTTGGGTGAGACTTAGGTTGTGCAGACTTCTTCTATCCACACAGAATGGAAGGAGCTAAGAAACTCTCTGGGGAGCTTTTTATAAAAACAAACAAAGCTAATACAATTCATGCAAGCTCCACCCTCATGACCTAATCACCTTTCAAGGCCTAGCCTACTATCATTACCTTGGTGGTTAGAATTTTTTTTAACAAATACTTTTAAAATTTCTTTATTATTTTTATTGATTTCACAGAGGAAGGGAGAAGTAGAGAGGGATAGAAACATCAGTGATGAAAGAGACTCATAGATCGGCTGCCTTCTGCATGCCCCTCACTGGGGATTGAGCCCACAACCTCAGCATGTGCCCTGACTGGGAATCGAACCGTGACTTCCTGGTTCATAGGTTGATATTAAACCACTGAGCCACACCTGCCTGCAATAGAATTTTAACATGAATTTTGGGGCATTTGAGGGGCGGTAAAATCTTTGAAAGCTGCACCAGTTAGTTGGACAGACTGGCCCTCTCTTCCTACATCAGGGACTATTTGGAAGACATGTCTTTAAAGAAATAATTTTGTTTGTCTTATTGGCTCTATTTTGAAATAAATGTCACCTTAAATACTCTGCAGACAAGCAGCACAAACTCTGGCAAAATAAAATGTAAGCCAAATATAAACACAAAGAGGAAAATGTGAAGATACTTCAAAATTATTCATATCTGGATATCCATAGGAATAACTGGTATCTATAGAAATACATTTTATTTTATTTATTTGTTTTTATTTAATCAATTGGGGTGACACTGGTTAACAAAATTATACAGGTTTCAGGTGCACAATTCTACAACACATCACCTGTACATTGTATTGTGTGTTCACCACCCCAGCCTGCTCTCTATGAGTCTGTTCCTATTTTGCTTGGTAATTCATTTTGTTCATTAGATTCCACATGAGTGAAATCATATGGTAATTGTTTTTCTCTGATTGGCTTATTTCACTTAGCATAATGCTCTCCAGGCCCATCCGTGCTGTCGCAAAGGGTAGAAATTTCTTTTTTTTTTTTTTACTGCCATGTAGTATTCCATTGTGTAAATGTACCACAGCTTGCTTATCTACTCATCTACTGATGGGCACTTGGGCTGCTTCTAGATTACAGTATCTATTTAACCACTTAAAAATTATTTCTTTGGTTTTTACAAGCAATAAAAACATTTATTTGCATGTATTTATTTATATGTAATCTATAATATTGTATCTAACATTATGTATTTACTAGAGGCCTGGTGCATGAAATTCGTGCATGGGAGGGGGGGTCCCCCAGCCCGGCCTGCACCCTCTCCAATCTGGGACCCCTTGGGGGATGTCCGACTGCCTCTCACAATCTGGGACCACTGGTTCCTAACTGCCTGCCTGCCTGCCTGCCTGATCACCCCTAACCACCTCTGTCTGCCTGCCTGATCGCCTCTAACTGCTCTCCTACTGGCCTGATTGCCCCTAACTGTGTCTGCCTCGCCCCACACCCGCGACCCAGGATTCCCTCCTCTAGCCAGTCGCAGGCACCTGGGACCTGGGCTTCCCTCCCTCTGGCTGGCAGCAGGAACCAAGGACCCGGGCTGGCTTTGCCCGGGCTGGCTGCAGCTACAGGGGACCATGAGCACGTGACTTCACCCGGGCCGCAGCTGCAGGTGCCTGGGATCATGGGACGGGCAGCTTGTCCCTTTCCCGGGCCGTAGGCGCAGGTGCAGCCGCTGGCTCCCAGGACTGTGGGGTGGGAGGCTTGTCCCTCTCCCCGGCCGCAGCCCCAGCCGCTGGCACCCAGGACCGCAGGGCATGCGTCTGTCCCTCTCTCGGGCCGTAGGCGCAGGTGCAGCCGCTGGCTCCCGGGACTGTGGGGTGGGAGGCTTGTCCCTCTCCCGGGCCGCAGCCTGGCTGGTCCCCATTCTTCTCTCATGAGCTCATTTGTGCCTGGCTGGTCCCCATTCCTCTCTCCCCAGTGTTGAGTGTCTGAGCTGTTACCGTGTGATGACATGAGGGCGTGATGTCCATTTGCATATTAGCTCTTTATTATATAGGACAGGGGGCCTCAAACTACAGCCCGCGGGCCACATGCAAATACAAATATTGTATTTGTTCCCGTTTTGTTTTTTTACTTCAAAATAAGATATGTGCAGTGTGCATAGGAATTTGTTCATAGTGTTTTTTTTTAACTATAGTCCGGCCCTCCAACGGTCTGAGGGACAGTGGCCCCCCGTTTAAAAAGTTTGAGGACCCCTGATATAGGATATGTGTTACTATATAATTATATATATTTTGTAATACATATTTTCTGATATATATTTATATAATATATGATAATATAATATGTAATATCTATATAATATGTAATTATGTACTATGTTCATATATTCTTTAATCCTTGTTCCACTCTTTAAGTGTGGAAAAAAATATATATAGTTTTTGCAGATAAACTGTCAGCGGTATGCATTCTCCAAACCCTAGAGTAAATGGGCCATGTGTTAAATTATTTGGAAAATAACACTAACTTATATAATATGTAATGTTATAAAACCTGAGATTGCCTGGCTATTTAAAACTGTACATTTTAGAGTACAAGAGAGTCCCTAATCTCAGGTTTTTAAAAAAATATACATATATTTTATTGCTTTTTTACAGAGAGGAAGGGAGAGAGATAAAGAGCTAGAAACATCGATGAGAGAGAAACATCGATCAGCTGCCTCCTGCACACCCCCCACTGGGGATGTGCCCACAACCAACGCACATGCCCTTGACCGGAATCGAACCCGGCACCCTTCAGTCCGCAGGCCGACGCTCTATCCACTGAGCCAAACCAGCCAGGGCCCTAATCTCAGGTTTTACCTGATGATTGACTCTCTCCTATAATATTGCCACAATAAAAACCACATTTGCACAACAATTTCAGCAAGGGAATGAATTCTATATTTTGTCTCAATATTAGTTAGGGTAAAACTTGTCTAATAAATTTATTTTTATTCTTTGGAAATGTAGGCTCGCATTTTCATTTAGAGCTTGTCTTGATGGTAAATAAGAGGCAAAAAATGACAGCATCAATGATTATTTGGTTTCACAGATACTTCCTTTGAAATAAACTTTTTATTCTTAAATCCATGGAAATAAAATGAAGCTAGTCATTCATGGTAGTTTCCACATTTGATTTTTGTTATATGTCATCTGTATTGTGTTTTACAGTAGGGCTATTGAAGGAAATAAAACATCAGAAAGTTCAAAATGCTAATATATCCTACTTGACAAGCTGATCAGTTTCCTAGATTTTCTAATGATGTAAACAGGAAGTTACAGAATATATATAAAGGGAAGCTCA